TTGCTGAAAATATGGTTTCAGCAACATGGCTTTGGTTGCAGAAAATGGTTGCATAAAATGGACCGAGAAATGGGGAGGAATTTAATCCTTTTTTTACCAATGTGGAGCATGTTGGTGAAGGTACACAATCAGCAACAAAGAATATGTTGCTGAAAAGTACAAGACTACTCTCTCCCCTTAACTTTTACCAAGATAATCCACGTTGTTGAAACTCTATTTTCAGCAACGTGACTTTGCTTGCTAAAAATGGACCAAAAGTGTGTGGGGGGATCTATCATTTTTTTTTACCATTGTGGAGCATGTTGGTGAAAGTATGCAATCAGCAACAAGGAATATGTTGCTGAAGATAGGGTTTCAACAACATGGCCTTTCTTGCTGAAAATTTGCTGAAAATTTGATAAAATTCCAGTGGCTATTCCGGCAAGATTCCTTGAAGTTTTTAGCAACATGAGCCACGTTGTTGAAACTCTATCTTTAGCAACGTGGCCTATGTTGCTGAAGGGGGTGAGAAATTTCACCCCCACCGGCGATCGGATTCCGGTGAAAGTTTTCAGCAACATAAGTTATGTTGCTAATACTTTTTTTTCAGCAACATAGGCTATGTTGCTGAAAGTGGTGAAAATTTTCACCACCACCGGTCACCGGATTCCAGTGAAAGTTTTCAGCAACATAACTTATGTTGCTGATACTTTTTTTTCAGCAACATAGCTTATGTTGCTGATATATTAGCAACATGATTTTGGTTGGTAATGTATCACCTACCAAGCCTTCTCCAACCAAACTTTTAGCAATCAAACCCATGTTGCTGAAGGACTTTCAGCAATATGGAAGGCACTTTCAGCAACATGCTTCCATGTTGCTGAAAGTGAGGATTTTAGTAGTGTAACTTCAGTGTCTTTGTGTCAATCTCTTTCAACTAATCAGCTTAAAAAAAATAGAAATAAGAGACTTTGCCGATGGCTCGATGCAAGCCACTACAACACTGCTCTCCTCATTGAAAGCTTGAAGACAAATTAAGGGACTACTAAAGGGACTATTAACTTCTTAATAAAGACTAAAAACAACATTATCTCTTTTTATATGAATCATATATTATCATATGAGGTTTCAACTTTAAAAATTTTTGTAAGTTTTTTTTATTTTATTTTAAAATTTTGTTTTATACTTATTAGTAGATATGTTCTAATAAAAAAATTGTCCTAGAAGAATTGATATTTTTTATTTAGAATTTATCCTAAAATAATAGCCTTTTTTTTTTTATTTTGAGGAAGATAAATAGTTTTTTTCTACTTTAACCTAATAATTATCTTTTAACTTTAATTATTTATTTTTTGATGGAAGTAGATATTCATTTTTAGTTATTTTTTAAATATAAAATAGGTAAAGATAAAAATTGTTTTCAAAATTTTCATTTGAAGATAAAACAAAAAAATCTATTATTCTAGTTTGGAGGGAGTAATATTTAAGTAATAAAACTTATTGATTTTTTATCATCACAAAAAATTGTATAACTTCCTTTTAGGATTTAGAGTTGTTGAGATTACAAATAAAATTGAATATTATGGTAATATTGAAGTTGTATTGAAGTTATACGGAATAGAATTGGATTGAAGTTATATGGAATAGAATTGGATTGAAGTACAAAAATTGAAAAAAAAAAGAAAAAGAAAGTACAAATCCATAAAAGGAACATATATAAATCCAATAAAAAGAAAAACCTTGAATATAGTCATATAGAGAAAAGCAATAGGAACATAAATTAGTATAAAAGGAAGATAAATTTGTATAAACTGTAATTAGCTTATAAAAAAGGAAAAAAAAATTTGTTTGCTTGTAGAAAGTGCTAGGATGAAGGGGTAGGAGGATGTTGCCGTATTTCTGAACTATGTCAATGGCATATGAAGACAAGAAAATCAAAGGTCTATAGTCTCTTTTACAAGTTAATTACTTTGATATTTACTCTTTTGGTTTCTATAGCAATAACAAAAAAAAATATTTTTTACCATGAAAATTGTGAAAAATGAAACTTCGCAGCAAAATGGATGATGAATCTCCCTCAAACTCTTTGATTGTTTATATTGAAAAGGAAATAGTTCAGTCATTTAATGTAGATAATATTATAAATAGATTTTGTGACATGAAAACTCATCAAGTATTATTTTAACATATTATATGAAAGTAAGTTTTCAAAATTACAATATATTATTTTAAGATTTGAAAAGCTGACCTCTCCTCACTAAAATTCCTGACTCCGCAAAGCAGGGATTTACTTTCCTAGATGTCAAGGGGCTTGATCAACGTCTATGTTTCCCATATTTACAGCTTAGCAGAGGTCAGGATCTCCTTGCAATCTTCTCAATTTTCATTTTTCCTCTCACGAGTATTCTTCGATTGGATGATGCATTTTAGAAGAGTTATAACGAGGCTTAATGCCTATAATAGAAATTTTAGTGATCCATTTTCTTATGTTGATCCGGAATGGCCAGCCAAAAGATATAATAATTATTAGAAAAATAATTGATACACACTCGGTTTAATATATTTTAGATAATTATTTGTTTAATTATTAAAATATAATATAACTATAATTTGATTCAACTAAAATTTTCATTTTAGATTCTATTAAAGTGGCATGAGTTTGTTTGTGTTTAATTTCAAATTAAAAAATAATGATTTTTAATGAATGTAATTTTGTAGAATGTTGAATAAAAAACTATTAAATTCTTTATTTTTAGAAATTTAACGTTCTGCTAAAACTAATTAATATCCTAATTATTATTGTCTATTTGTAGTCAGTAACAGAAACAGATGTGCTTCTTTACTCGCGTTAGATAGGCCAAACTGGCATTTGGTACCATTAGAGATAGGAAAGCAGTTGGAAAGGTCATTATTGCATTTACAGATCAGGGAAGTGGAAGATCTAAGCTTTAAGTAGATGGGGATTCAACTTGGAACAGAAAGGTAAATCTTCTAATAATTAGCAAATAAGCTAGATGATAAATTATGGACAACAACAAGATGTCAAAATAAAACTTTTAAAAGTTTTCCTTTAGCTTCGTTACAATACATGTTATGAATGTAAGAACAAGATCCTTTTATATCTGTTATTCTGCTTGTGAGTGTGCTTGTATGGTCATATGCACTCAAAATGCAATTGAGGTGGATGGTGGCACTGCTTTGTTCATATTGGTGGACCGCAACTGATAAAACCTTTAACTGTTGCGATATTTGTAGGGAGGTGAAATATTCAATTATTTGTCTTACCGTTATAATCTTCTATTTGGTTAATATTAATATATACTTAACGATTTCTTTTTGGGGATAGCAGAAAACCAACACGTTTTCTATAATTAATATGTTAAGGTTTTTTTTTTTTAATGAAAAAGGTAAATAATTCCATTGAAAGAAGGCCAAAGCAAGGGTATAATGGCATATCAATTTTTAATTATTTTAAATTGCAAACAGTAGATTTTATTTTTAAATAGTATCATTTACTGTTTAAAGATAATAAAATATAAAATTTGTGTAGCTTAAAAGCATGT